GATACAACAACCTCCCTACCAGTCTTTGATAGGCACCAGGGTTCTTGAGAGCTTCATCTGAGTAAGTACTATTGGTATTGAAGCACTTATCAAATTCAGTGGTTGTCAACTTCTGGTTCAGCTCTAATGGTGTTCCAGCTGGCTTTGCACCACTTAGTCCTGACTCAGAAATTAACTCTAGTGCATATTTTGTTTGACACATGAGAATTCCTTGTTTAGACCTCGCAAACTCAATACCTAGGAAGAATTTTAGCTCTCCTAGATCCTTCATCTTGAACTTTTTCTTGAGATCTGATCTGGTTTCACACAACAATTGTTGATTGTTCTCAGTGATCAAAAGATCATCTACATATACCAGTATGACCACTATGTCTCTCCCAGCCTTCTTTGTGAACAAGGAATAGTCATAATGACTCTGCTAAAACTCCATACAAACTAGGGCTTCTGTCAATTTCATATTCCATTGTCTTGGAGCCTGTTTAAGTCCATAGAGGGACTTATGAAGTTTGCAGACCCTCTTGTGATTCTCCCCCTGTCTAGCAAACCCCTCAGGTATATGCATAAAAACCTCCTCAACAAGATCACCATTAAGAAAGGCATTATGAACATTCGTCTGAAAAATCAAGTTGAGATGCAGCTAAGGCAACTATGGATCTGACAGTAACTATCTTAGCTACAGGTAGACCTGTTAAATGGGCCGACCCGACCCAGACCCGAACCCGTTGACTCTTGGCCCATGGGTCCTCAACCAGGCCGGTCCGGTTCACTTTCTAATAGGGACCGGTCCGGATTTGACTCATTAATCAAAATATGTTGACCCGACCCGGACCCGTAACCCATAATCCCTTAACTCGAGCCCTTATGGGCCGAATCCAATTTAACTAAAAAAAGTTAAAAACTAATAAACAATAAAAATTTCAAACTTTATACATATATATACGAACTTGAAATTACTACATGTCCTTGAAACCCGTTAGAATAAAATGAAAGAAAATCATACTTTGTTAATATGAAGACTTGAGAAACATATGTAATTTGATTATTTCTATAATTAATAGTCTAAACCATATGGAATTCAACTATTTCGACAAGAGACCTCATAGTGTTTGGTACTATATTCTTTCTTCAATGTTTAGATTCATTTTTTTAACCACTTGTCTGAATATAATATTTATTATATATGTGAGCTGGTCCGGGCCGGTTGACCTGTGGGTCAGCTACCGGTTCCGGCCCGGTCCGGTTCAGTGGGTCAAAATATTATAGCCCGGCCCAGGCCCATTAAATTAATGCGTTGGTCCGGTTAGGGTTTCATGGGTCATAGGCCGGTTAACGGGTCAATTTTAATTGGTTATGTGGGCCGATTCGTCAATTTGACAGGTCTAGCTACAGGAGAGAAGGTTTCACCATAATCTAAACCTTCCTTTTGATTGTATCCCTTAGCAACCAGCCTGGCTTTGAATCTTTCTACCTCCCCAGATGCTTTGTACTTGACTTTATACACCCACCTACAACCAATGGGTGTCTTTCCTGGTGGAAGGTCCACAACACTCCAAGTTTTATTGTCCTCTAATGCAACAATCTCCAACTGCATAGCTTTCACCCACCTAGGATCAGTAGCAGCCTCTCTAAAAGTGGTAGGTTCTATAATAGTTGAGTAGGATGTGAGGGCCTATCGAAAGGTTGGAGAGATATGTGAATAATCAACATAGGAGGAAATAGGATAAGTGCATTTTGAGCCTTTGGAGAGAGTGACATAGTCCTGCAACCACACAGGTGGTTTGCTTGGTCTAGAAGATCTCCTGCATCCTTCAAGATTCTCAGCAAGGTCAGATTGACCAGCAGATGATTCAGCACAACCATTGTCTTGAAGACTTGGCATAGTAGAAGGAATAGGTTCAGGAGCAATTCTATCTAGAGAAGAAGAGGGAACTTCTGCAGAGAAGTCAGATGGCACTTGATCTGCAGCAGGCTCAGTTGACCTTTCTACTGTAGGTATTGAAGAAGAAATAGGGGAAGAAGCATTCAACCCTGGAGATAATAGATCCAGAACAGGGAATACCATAGTTCCTGAATCCCTAGCATGCTTGAAGGGAAAGATAGACTCATAAAACACCACATTTCTATTAACCACAAAGTGCTTGGCATGTAGATCATACAGTATATAACCCTTCTGAGTAGAAGAGTAGCCTAAGAGCACAACTGGTACTGCTTTAGGTGAAAACTTATCTAGGACTTTAGGGGATGTAGAATAACACAGATAACCAAATACTTTGAGATGAGACAAAGAGGGTGGATGCAGATACAACTTTTCAAAAGGATATTTGTACCCAATTACCTTAGAAGGTAACCTATTTAGCAGATACACTGCTGTAGCAACACATTCTCCTCAGAATCTTAGAGGCACAACTACTTGAAATCTGAGAGATCTAGCCATGTCCAAAATGGTTCTATGTTTTCTTTCTACTACCCCATTCTGTTGGGGTGTGTAGACACAAGTACTCTGATGTACAATACCAAGATCAGACAACAAATGCTTGAATGCAGTACTAAAGAATTCACTTCCATTATCTGTTAACACATTACTTGCTTGAGTAAGAAAGTCTCTTAGAACTACAATTGCTTCTGATTTGCAATTCAAAAGAAATATCCAAGTAAACCTGCTGGAATCATCAACTATGGTGACAAAGTACCTTTTACCATCATGCGTAGGTACTCTATATGGTCCCCAAATATCACAGTGAACTAGCTCAAAAACAAACTTAGAAGTAGTATTACTTAGCTGGAAGGGCATCTTAGTTTGTTTAGCAACAAGGACATACAGTACAGGGTTGACTAAGAACTCCTGTTGTCAGCTCATTCAATGCTTCTATCTTCTTTATTACATCTATCTCTTATGCCATAAACTGCAAGTACTAGATACATGTGTTCTAGAGGAAGTACTGGAAACAGGTGGAGATATATATGCATCACTTGCTGAAGAAGCAGGAACTTCATTTGTTGTGTTGGCACATTTATTTGTTGACTGAGATGAGTTTGTTATAGAGGTACTCCCACGCAGTATGTATAAACTAGGTTCTTCTCTATCAATTCCCTTCACCTGACCACTGAAGAGGTCCTGAAAGATACAGAAATTAGGGAAGAAGCCAACCATACATTTTAGTTCCTTAGTAAGCTTTGAAACTGAAAGTAGGTTGAACTTAAAATCAGGGATATACAAGATATTAGAGATTTCATGATTGCTCAATAGCGAAGCATTTCCTGTGTGTGATACTGATGCCACACTACCAGTAGGTAATTGTACTTTGTTTTCTTCTGTGTTTGGGAGTGCTTTATAGTCATGTAGTATTTCAAGGCTGGAAGTCATATGGTTTGATGCCCAGTGTCAACAATCCACTTGTCATTAACACAGTGAGACATAAATGCATTCACTTTGTTTAGAATACCTGCAACAGTTGACTTGCTTGATGATTCTGATCCTTCTGTGCTTCCTTTGGATAACAAGTGAACTATTTGTTGATACTGTTCAGGAGTAAAAACAGGAGTAGAGAGTGGCATTTGCTGAAAGAATGCAGACTGATTTGCTGGTTGTGGTTGTAAAACACCTGCATTAGACTGATTTCCAACTCTGCCTTGTTGAACCACATTAGAAGCTACACTATTTCCCATACTACATCTGTCTGCATAGTTTACCTCTGTACTATACATCTGATTTGCATACTGCCCACTATTGGCACCTTTCTTCTTGGACTTGAAGTCAGGAGGGTATCCAATCAACTTATAACAGTTTTCCTTGCTATGCCCCTTTTAATGGCAATATTCACATTGAACTTGATCCCTCTTTTGTTTGTAGCTTCCAGTATTATTTGTGCCTTTGTTACTGTACATAGCTAAATTCTCCAAGGCCTTAGAAACTTGAGCTACTTGTGGCATATTAACAAGATTTCTCTGACTTTCCTGATCGACCAACATAGAGTATGCTCTGTTTATACTAGGTAGATGAGACATCATCATAATCTGGCTCCTTGACTGAGAGTAGGACTCATTTAGTCCAGTAAGGAGCTGAAGTAGTCTTTGATACTCAAAATGTTGAGCATACATCTTTGACTCAGGACAAGCACATCCAGGACATGACATAAGAGCATCAAATTCATCCCAAAGTTCTCTTAGTTTTGAAAAGTAATCAGTCACAGTCATAACTCCCTGAGTTAAGGTGTGAACTTCTCTGTGTAGGTACAGAATTCTGGAGCCATTAACTTTATCAAATCTCTCCTTTAAATCTTCCCAAACTTTATGAGCACTAGATGCATATAAGACACTACTCAACAAACCCGGCCTCACAACATTCATTATCCATGACAAAACAATAGCATTCACTTTCTCCCATAGATCATGAAGTTCAGGTTCAAACCTAGACTTAGGAAACCTACCATCAACAAATCCTAACTTGCTTTTACCTAACAAGCCAATTCTTATTGCGCGACTCCACAAGGCGTAGTTATCAGATCCAGTAAGCCGAAGAGAGATCAGAGAACTACCTGGTGTGTCAGTGGGCTGTAGGTACAGAGGATGATTGTGATCGACGGCAGGAAATGAGGAGCTGGTCACAAAATTGCCATTTTCTAAAGTCGTAGCTGTGGCAGTACGAGTAGGAGCAGTAGAATCATTCACTTGATCATCTTCAATCGCCATTGTTACCAGAAAATTAGCTTCGAAGAACACAACTTGCAAACCCTAGCTTCGATCCTGAATTACTCTGAGACAATTCTGCAATTTGAGGTGCAAAATTGAAGTAACCTAAATGAAGGAATTAGTTTTTTTTAACTGCCTTTTATAATTACTCCTTAGAAAATAGATGCTTGAGACTTTATGATTAACATTTTGCTGAATCTAGAGTTAAACCAACTTATTAATTGGAGTGGGTGGTAGACAAAAACAAATATCTGGGCATGGATTTGGATTGAAAGCGAATTTGGACATGTCGTCTATATATTTGATAATGGACTTGAAATATTCTATTGCTCTCCTCATTGATTGGACCGCTAGTAGTATGTTTAGGCCGTACCACACTTGGGTAGGGAAACCTATAGGACGTTCGTATTTTAGCTTCTTTTGAGGTGAGAGATCGCCCCTTAGTTAAATTTATCCGGGGAATGCCCCGAGGGATTTGTATATATTTTATTTCAGGGGTATGCCCCGAAGTGAATGTAATTGGAGACTGTGGCGAACATCGTAGAAGAGATAACGTAGGATAATTTAGAACTTTAATTTTTCTTCTTTTAATTTTCTTTCATTTAGGTGGGGACAATCTCGAGCCTCTTTTGATTGTTTATTTGCTTTTTGTGTGTTATCACCTCAATTCGAATATCTTAAAAGCCAACTAGATCGAATACGCAACCGTGACCTTTACGGGAGTTGGGTGCCTAATACCTTCTCCCCGAGTCAAATGAACCCCCTTACCCAAATATCTGGTGCAGACTTGGTTTTAGAGTCTGAAATGTTTTAAAAGGAAAATTATTTAAAAAAAAAACGGTGACCTGGCACACCAAAACCAAAGCCAGGTGGCGACTCTGAGTTATTTCCTTTTAAACACAATTTTGTCACTTTTTAATTAAAAACCCTTTTGAGCTTTACAAATCCTTTTTATTATTTAAAGAGGGTTTAGTGATGTTTAGTTAAAAAAGGGGTGTGACATCAATTAGACTGGGGCCTGCATATTGGCTCGAGAAGTTTTGAGGTGAGTTGATATAACCCTTTACCAAAGTGGTTTAACTCACAAAAGTATGCATACAAGGTGTTTGATGAATTGGCTAAAAGAGTGAATATTTACTTAATTGAAGTGAGTGAGTTCCTATTAGCTTAGAATTATTTTAGTTAAAGTTAGATGATTTACTTTGATATATGTGCATAAATTTTCGGATTTTTATGTTATTCTTATATGCCATTCTTATGTTGAAAATTCATAAAAAAGTAAGAATATTTAGAAATAATTTTAAATGTTTATTTCATTCTTATGCCATACCTTACATTTAAGAATTCTAGAATAAGTATGTTTGAAAGATTTAGACTTGAAAAGTCACAAGAAGAAGTTTTAGAAAGAAAAGATTTTTGGGAGTATCCTTTATTCTAAGAAACGGTCATCGTCCAGGCGGAGGGTCCTGACCAAGGCGTTGACTTCCTGAAACTACTTGTGCTAAAGTAGGGAGCGCACGAGCCAAGGGTCTCGTTGCTGATAATTCACTTAGCTAGGCTAAGGTATGATATATGAGCGCTGAGAACTATGAAGCGAGTTGCACCTCGTGGATTGGGCCTATTCGATCAGGTTGGGATCGAACCCGTGCTGATCACACGGTGACTAAGACAGAAATAGGTCAAAATAGTTGGAACTCCTAAAGTATAAAGAGAAGTATTTTTTTGAAAAAGAAAAGAATTTCTTTTAGAATATTCATAAACTGCCAGTATGCAATTATTTTAGAATTATTCTTATAAGCTTTATGTTTTACATGCATTTAGAACCTTTGCTCATAATGTATATGTTAGTAAAGTTTTGCCTCCAGTTGTTAAGACTCACTGAGTACATTGGATGGTACTGACGTTCTCTTTTGGGAACCTACGTGTCACGACCCAAACTAATGGGCCGCGATGGGTGCCTGAGTCCTACCTGTCAAACACCCTTAAGCATACGTCTAGGATATGAACCAATATAACATCTGCTGAGTTACGAGATGTACATGGAGGAAATCTGCCCAAAAAGGGCATACATACAAAATACATAGGACGAGCCGACAAGGCTACTATAGACAACTATACATCTCAAAACTGGAAGCCGACAAGGCCACATACTATCCAACTACACATAATGTACCTCTAATAGAAACATAACTGTACAAAGACGGGACTGAGCCACATCATACCCATATACATACATACATACATACATACATACATANCCTGCGGGCATGAAACACAGGCATCGTGAAATAGGGTGTCAGTACAAAAAATGTACTAAAAATAAGTACGTAAAAGACATAGATAAAACATGGAATACAAAAATACTTTTAAATCTAAATAACTCTGTAAATTCTGAAATGTTTATAATATCATGCACATACGTATAAATATCGTGCCATGCATAGGTATGGGTGTACATAATATCATCAAGCCACTGAGGGCATCCCATCATATCGTCTCGGCCACTGTGGGCAACATCATCAACATATACCAGCTGATCAGGTGGTGGTGCGTATATAATGCCATAACCTCTTCTCATATCCCATATACATATACATACATATATACGCGTATATAACGCCATTTGAATCATATTTCAGCCACAGTGGGCAACATCATCATCATATACCAGTTGATCAAGTGGTGGTGCGTATATAACGCTGTAACCTTTTTCCCGTATCCCATATAAATATAATATACATATATACGCATATATAACGCCATTTGGTCATGGGTCAATGCACATGTATAAATGGGTGAAATACATGAAAAATACGTAATAATCTTAATATTCCTTTCGGATAGCCTGTTTCAACTGCGTATTATTCTGAGACCCATGAACAGGAAATAATAACATTTTTCATGGGGAATCAAGAATATAGACACCCCTAATAATTCTATGAATAGAGTGATTTATGAAAATTGTGTATTTGCTCGTTTCTTCAATATAATTTGGACCATGCTAAAAGAAAGAAGGGATGACCTTAACATACCTGTTTCTTGAATTGTTTGAACGAATCTGCTTCCGCAAAATATGGATGAAATTTTGCTTGAATCTCTTAAAATTTTGAAACAAAATTTGGTGGCTTCTTCTGAAATTTTAATCGAAATTTTTGAATTGTTGAAGGAAATGATTCTGCCTTTCACGTTTTGTTGGTTTTTTTGGAAATTTTGGAAGGAATTTTTTTTCCCTCCCAAGTTAGGAGGATCTATAGTGTTTCCACACTTTCCCTCCATGGTGACTCGAATCCAGGACCTAACGATCGTATGTGGTGGTGCTTTTACCAACTGAGCAAGCCTCACATGTCTCGGAAGGAATTTGGATTCTGTCCTTTCACGTTTTTCTTAAAGGCAAAAGGTCTTTGAAACCTAACCAAGAGTCAAACCAAGTGACTTCCTATTCATTTGTCCAAAATGAATCCAATACTTCAAGTCTTTCCTTTAAAAATGACTTATCTTTATGAATCACTAAATGACTTTACGCGTTACAAGCATATATGACTATGAGTCATATGCTTGAGTGGTGGCACACTGCCACGTGGGGAGTAGGGGTGAAGATTATTAATCTTTATCCACTTATTAGTTAACTGGATAATACCCTGTTACCCGGTAATTAATCAATTATCCGCATAATTTAAAATTATCACAATTTTACATAAAATTCTATTTTTAAATACTTCATATGTACTTTATATATCATACTACCATGGTCATATGGTACCTTGCATGTTACTAGTTCATAATTATCGGGTATTCTCGCTCGACCCGTATTTTATTCCAAATTATCCACTTTCCACGAAACTCGTTTTCTTTAATTCGTGTACCTTTTATTCTTCCTGACACTTATTTATCGCTTGTTATAAATAACGTAAATATATTAACCTCAAGATAATCTCATCCCCGAGTCTACGTCGATTAACTAAAAACAAAATTTTAACATACGAAAATGCGAGATGTAGCACTACGTTGGTCTGCGGTACAATGTAGGAACCAGATTTGCAGGCGAGCAGGCTACGAGTTAGGACTTCCTTCCCTTCCAGTTCTATTGGTGAGCTCCACTTTTGTTCGTGGAGTATACCTTAGAGTCATTTTTATTTAGCTATTTCTTTGTTTACTTAGAGAACTGACCAGAAACTCTCATGTCCTGAGCAGTGCGTCAGTTTATTAGTAGGGGCTTCATAGACATAGTTGTTGGGTTAAGATTCAGATGTTTTTTTATATAATAACTTAGCAGTAATTCAGTAGTACTACGAATAAAGTTTTGGAATTGATTTATTTAAATATTTAAATTAATCAATAGTATTTGGTTAGAGTATTGCCTTGTTGCATATAAAGTTTGGAGTTATAATAGATTTGATAAGCAGAGATGGTTCGCTCGGTCATATTTAGTGATCAAGTGCCGGTCTCGGCTTGTTCAGAAAATGGGTCATGACAAACTTGGTATCAGAGCCTCAGGTTTATGGAGTCCTAGGGGTCTCTGAAGCCATGTTCGTAGAGTCTTGTTTATGGGTATGGAGCGCACCATACTTATAAACAGGAGGCTACAAGCATTTAGGAAGAGTCTCTTTTTTTTTCATACTTTAGATCGTGCAGTAGAGTCTACCTCTAAGAAATTATCTAATTTATTCGTTTCTCCAAAACTCACAGAAATGGCTCGTACTCGCAACTCTGACACCGACACTCAGGATGCTGCTCATGAAACTATTGCTAATATTGTGGCTCAAGGCAGAACTAAGAAGGCTTCGACCCAGAAAAGGAGGAGTAAATCCACAAAGGGGGTCCAAGTACCCCGGGTTGAACAAGAAGAAGGGGTGGAGCATGATGATCCAGTACCTCAGGATCCAGTACTGCCCTAACAGCAGCTCCGGCTCAGACAACTATATCTCCAAAGGTGGGTCAGATGTTTAATGCAATCAACAATGCTATGGAGATGTTTAAAGCCTTCATGGCCAACCAGAACGAGAGAAGAGATGAGTTTCCACCTCAATCAAATAGACATAACAATTCTGAGTCCTCAAGAGTGAATAAATGTTTGAAGTTGAGTCCTCCAGTGTTCCATGGTTCATAGTTGATGAAGATCCAATGTTGTGGATGGAGGGTGTCAAGAAAGCCCTCCGAGCAATGAAGGCATTGGATGATAAAGCTATGGAGCTTGCTGCTTACCAGCTTAGAGATGTGGCTGGCACTTGGTTTGAGATGTGGGAAAAGGAAAGAGATGAAGATGATGGTCCGCCTACTTGGGAAGAATTTGAAGAGGCCTTTATGGCTAACTTTATCCCAGAAGAGGATAGAGAGCTAAGGCTACAGAGTTCGAACAACTCAAGCAAGGGAACAAAAGTGTTCAAGAGTACTACATAGAATTCATAAGGTTAGATAAGCATGCTCCTCGCATGGTTAAGACAGAAAAAGCAAAGATTCGCAGGTTTGTTGGCGGTTTGGCTTACCACATTAAGGATACGACATCATCTGCAACGGTAGGAATGACAGATTTCTCCTTTGTCATGGGATTCGCCAAGACTTAGAAAAAGACAGACAATAAAGAAGAGAAGAAAAAGAGCATAACAAGAAAGCCCAGACAACGGGCAGGTTTAATGGTACATCCAGCGGAGGTAGAAGGGATTCCTCTAATAAGGATTCATTAGCACCAGCTCAGTCCAGTCATTAGACAAGTGGTGGGTTTTCCTTCAGACGTACTCAGAGTTATGGAAACCAGTCTCACCATAATCAGAGTTTTAGGACATCATCCTCACATAGCCAGAGTCATGCTGAGCAACATTCATACCAACAAGGTCTTTGTGGAACATATAAGCAGGAACATTCAGGTCAGTGTAAGCTCGGGTTTCATGGTTTCTATCATTATGGAGACATTGGTCATATAAAGGCCAACTGCCCAAAGTTGCGACGTAATTTCAGTGGTAGATCAACTCGTCCTTCTAGTTCCTCAGCTACTGCAGTTGCACCACCTCAGGCTCGTGGTTCTCATAATCAGACCGGGCATGGGGTAGGCAGAGGTGCAGATCGAGTTACTCAGGGAGGGGGCAACCCCATTTATTTGCTACACTTGACCGTCAGAGTGCGGATGCATCTGTAAAAGTTATTACAGGTATACTTTAGTCTGCTCACATAATGCTTATGTCATAATGGATCCAGGTTCAACGTTTTCATATGTGACTCCATACTTTGCAATTAACCTCAGACTAGAATCTGAACAACTTAGTGAGCCATTCCTAGTATCTATTCCAGTTGGCGAGTTAGTGAAAGTCACAAGAGTCTATAGAGGTTGTATAGTTTCAGTCCAAGGTTGCAATACCAAAGCCGATCTCATAGAGTTAGAAATGGTGGATTTCGATGTGATCATGAGTATGGATTGGTTATCTTCCTGCTATGCCATGTTAGATTGTCATGCCAACATAGTCAGGTTCCAATTTCCAAATGAAGAAGTCTTAGAGTGGAAGGGTAGTTTAGCATCGCTTGTAGGTAAGTTTATTTCTTACCTTAAGGCACAACGAATGATCGGTAAGGGGTGTCTCACCTATTTGGCTCACATCATTAATCCAGAATCAGAACCACCAACTCTTCAGTCTGTGCTAGTTGTTAGAGAATTTCTAGAAGTTTTTCCAGATGACCTTCCCAGACTTCCTCCTGAAAGAAACATAGACTTTGGCATTGATCTCATGCCAGACATTCAACCCATATCTATACCTCCTTATAGGATGACTCCAGCAGAACTTAATGAGTTGAGAGAACACTTGAAATACCTCCTTCACAAGGGCTTCATCAGGCCGAGTGTTTCACCGTGGGGTATCTCGGTCCTGTTTGTCAAGAAGAAAGATGGGTTTCTTAGAATGTGCGTCGACTATCGGCAGTTGAATAAAGTTACCATTAAGAACAAGTACCCACTGCCAAAAATTGATGATTTATTTGATCAACTTCAGGGTGTGAAGTACTTTTCGAAAATAGACTTGAGGTCGGGGTACCATCAGTTGAGAATAAGGGAAGAAGATATATCTAACAGCCTTTTAAACTTGCTACGAGCACTATGAATTTCTAGTGATGTCCTCCGGGTTGACAAATGCTCCAGCTGCATTCATGGACCTCATGAACCGAGTTTTCAAGCCATTCCTTGATACCTTTATCATCGTGTTTATAGACGATATTTTGGTATACTCTAAGAGAAAGGATGAGCATGCCAAACACCTCAGAATAGCCTTGCAGACCTTGAAGGAGAATGAGCTTTATGCCAAGTTTTGAAAATGTGAGTTCTGGTTGCAATCAGTGGCATTCTTAGGCCACATGGTATCTAGTGAAGGAATAAAAGTAGACCCTCAGAAGACAGAAGTAGTCAAGAACTGGCCTAGGCCGACAACGCCAATTGAAATCAGGAGTTTCTTGGAGTTAGCTGGCTACTATAGAAGGTTTGTAGAGGGGTTTTCTTCACTTGCAGCTCCATTAACTAAGTTGACCCAGAAAGCAGTTAAGTTCCAGTGGTCAGACGCTTGTGAGCAGAGTTTTCAAGAGTTAAAGAAGAGGTTGACCACTACACATGTATTAACCTTGCCGACAGGTTCGGGTGGGTTCACAGTATATTGTGATGCCTCCAGAGTTGGTCTCGGTTGTGTTCTTATACAAAAATAAAAAGTTATTGCTTATGCTTCCAGACAGTTAAAGAATCATGAAAATAACTACCCCACACACGGCATAGAGCTTGCAATACTGGTGTTTGCATTAAAGATAGGGCGACACTACCTTTATGGCAAGCATTCTGAAATGTTTACAGACCACAAAAGCCTCCATTACATTTTCAAGAAAAAAAAATTAAATTCGAGACAGAGAAGGTGGCTCGAGCTATTGAAAGATTATGACATCAATATCCTTTATCACCCCGGCAAAGCTAATGTGGTAGCCGATGCAATTAGTAGGAAGTCAATGGGTGTCTTGGCCCATCTTGCAGTGCAAAAGCGAACTTTGGGTCAAGAAATTCAAAAACTGGCAAATGACGGAATTAGACCGAAGAAGGAGGTATAGATGCTTATGCCTTAGCGGAATCCTCTATAGTTGTGCATGTTAAGGCTAAGCAAGACGAAGATCCGTACTTAGTGAAGTTAAAAGAAGGAGTTAGAAACAAAGAAATCACTACTTTCACTCTAGGAAGTGACAGAGTTTTGAAGTTGAATGATCGGTTATGTATGGCTGATATAGATGGGCTTAGGAAAGCCATAATGGAAGAAGCTCACAGTTCGAGGTACTCTGTCTACCCAAGTGCTACCAAAATGTATCTGGACTTGAAAGTATTGTATCAGTGGAAAGGCATGAAGAAGCAAGTAGCAGAACATGTGGCTAAATGTTTGAATTGCCAGCAAGTCAAAGCCGAGCATCAGAGGCCTGGTGGCCTAGCTCAAGATATAGAAATACCACAGTGGAAATGAGAGATGATTAATATGGATTTCTTAGTAGATCTACCCCGCACATACCGTAAGCATGATTCAATTTGGGTTATTTTAGACCGATTGACAAAATGCGTGTATTTTCTACCAGTAAAGACGACAGATTCCGCAGAGCAGTATGCGCAATTGTACATCAAAGAAATAGTCCGATTGCATGGTACTCCAATTTCAATCATATCTGACAGAGGCCCTCAATTCACAGTGCATTTTTGGCAAGCATTTCAGAAAAGATTAGGTACCAAGGTCAATTTGAGCATCGCTTTCCATCCACAAACCAATGGTCATGTAGAAATAACCATTCAGACTCTCGAAGATATGTTGCGTGCGTGTGTTATAGATTTTGGAGGTAATTGGGATGATCACTTGCAACTTATAGAATTTGCTTACAATAACATCTATCAGACCAGTATTGGTATGGCTCCATATGAAGCGTTGTATGGGCGGAGATGTAGGTCTCCAGTGGATTGGTTTGAACCAGCAGAGCTGCCATTGATTGGTCCAGAGTTTGTTTGTGAGGCCTTGGAGAAAGTTCAACTAATTAAAGAAAGACTTAAAGTGGCTCAGAGTCGTCAAAAGTCTTATTCTAACAAGAGGCATCATGAGTTAGAGTTCATGGTTGATGATAAGGCGTTTTTGAAAGTTTCACCAATGAAAGGAGTTATGAGGTTTGGTAAGAAATGAAAACTTAGCCCTAGATTTATCGGACCTTATGAAATTCTAGAAAAGAAAGGAAACATGGCTTATAAACTAGCGCTACCTGTTGAGTTGTCCTCTGTTCATCCTGTCTTTCATGTATCTATGCTTAGAAAGTACATTCATGATGAGTCACATATAATACCTGCCGATACCATAGAAATTAAAGAAGGCTTGACTTATGAAGAGGTACCTATAGAAATTCCCGATAGGCAAGTAAGAAAGTTGAGAACAAAAGATTTAGCATCGGTAAAAGTTTTGTGGAGTAATCATGATTCAAAAGAGGCTACGTGGGAGGTCGAGGAAGATATGAGAAAGAAATATCCATATTTATTTGAGGAAAAAGGTATGTGAACCTAAGTTTGGTTTGACATTTATATTTATTTATTAAATACAAGTTAGCAAGTGTTTCTGTCCTTCCTAGATTATACTTAGTTGTTGTAGTAATTTAGTTTATGCCGTAGTATATTTAATTCATTAAAGTGATTTACTTGTGCTAGAGTTGTTGTGCTTTAGATTCTTGTAATTAGTTATTGTGGTACCTCCTTGCCGGAGTGTGAGTAATTAATTTATGAGCTGCTTATGGTGCCTATGAATGACCTGTTATGGTATATCCGGTTGTTGTTGATGTGGTTGTGGTATTTGTGACAGAGATATTTTTTTGGATAGTCCAATTTACAAGGAAAAATCTACCGAAATTTTTGAAAATTTAGGGAGTTAGCTAAACTTTTGAGTCCGTTGGAAGAGTCAGTAGTGCTAAAAAAATTTAAGAGGTTCAAGGACCTAAGGAATGATTTTTAGCTTAAGAAAAAGGCCCTAGCAATATTCGAGGACGAATGTTTTTAAGGAGGGAAGATTGTAACACTCCTCAAATTATAAAGTGTCGAGACACGCTAATTATAGAATTAAATTAGTATTATTATTATTTTTATTTTGCCTATAGTGATATATATATATATANTAATTACTAAAAGTATGTATAATTAAATGCTACTCAAGTCATTAAAAAAAGAAAAAAAAAAGGGGGAGCACATGCCAAGTAAGCCCATAAAGGGCTGTTGGATCAAACATAATAGCCTCACTGAGGCATGAATACCTTACCAGAAGCAAATGGAATTAACATTCTGTTTGCTCGAGAAATAGAGACAACAACTATTCACGCGGGGCAACGAAAATTTTAGGGTTCTTCATAACTCACTTTTTTTACTCAGGTATATAAAATTTCCTATTCTCAATTACCCTACAGTAGTAATAGGTAAAAGTTGAATAGTTAATTCTCTTCATTCTCCATATCAACAATAAATTTCATGTTTAGGTGTGAAATATTAAAATTGATTAAAATGCACTGGTTATTGTAGAATCAATTGTTTGACTGCTGTCAATTGGACTGGGACTTGCGTATTAGCTCGAGAAGTTTTGAGGTGAATTGATATAACCCTTTACCAAAGTGGTTTAACTCGCAAAAGTATGCATACAAGATGTTTGATGAATTGGCTAAAAGAGTGAATATGTACTTAATTGAAGTGAGTGAGTTTCTATTAGCTTAGAACTATTTTAGTTAAAGTTAGATGATTTATTTTGATATATGTGCATAAATTTTCATATTTTTGTGTTATTTTTATATGCCATTTTCATGTTGAAAATTCATGAAAAACCAAGAATATTTAGAAATAATTTTGAATGTTTATTTCATTCTTTTGCCATACCTTGCATTTAAGAATTCAAGAATAAGTATGTTTGAAAGATTTAGACTTGAAAAGTCACAAGAAGAAGTTTTAGAAAGAAAAGATTTTTGAGAGTATCATTTATTCTGAGAAGGGGTCATCGTCCAGGCCGAGAGTCCTGACCAAGGCGTTGACTTTCTGAAACTACTTGTGCCAAAGTAGGGAGCACACGAGCTGAGGGTCTCGTTGCTGAGAATTCACTTAGCTAGGCTAAGGTATGATATATGAGCGCTGAGAAGCATGAAGAGAGTGACACCTAGTGGATTGGACCTATTCGATCAGGTTGGGATCGAACCTGTGCCAATCACACGGTGACTAAGACAGAAATAGGTCAGAATAGTTGGAACTCCCAAAGTATAAAGAGAAGTATTTTTTTGAAAAAGAAAAGAATTTCTCTTAGAATATTCATAAATTGCTAGTATGCAATTATTTTAGAATTATTCTTATAAGCTTTATGTTTTACATGCATTTAGAACCTTTGCTCGTAATGTATATGTTAGTAAAGTTTCGCCCCCTGTTGTTGAGACTCAATGAGTACAATGGATGGTACTGACGTTCTCTTTTGGGAATCTACGTTGGTCTGCGGTACAATGTAGGAACCGGATTTGTAGGCGAGCAGGCTACGAGTTAGGACTTCCTTCCCTTCCAGTGCTATTGGTGAGCTCCGCTTTTGTTCGTGGAATATTCCTTAGAGTCATTTTTATTTAGCTATTTCTTTGTTTACTTAGAGAACTGACCAGAAAATCTCATGTCCTGAGCAGTGTGTCAGTTTATCAGTAGAGGCTTCATAGACATAGTTTTGGGTTAAGATTCAGATGTTTTTTATAATAACTTACCAGTAATTCAGTAGTACTACGAATAAAGTTTTGGAGTTGATTTATTTAAATATTTAAATTAATCAAAAGTATTTGGTTAGAGTATTGCCTTGTTGCATATAAAATTTGGAGTTATAATAGATTTGATAAGCAGAGATGATTCGCCCGATCATGTTTAGTGATCAAGTGCCGGTCCCGTCTTGTTCAGAAAATGAGTCGTGACAACTTCAACTCCAACTCAAATTTTGTCTCCATCCTCTTGTATAAATAATCCCCATTCCATGAGCATTTTCATCAACCATAACCATTATCTATTCAGGTATCAAAGGTCTCTAAATTTCTACTATACTTTCTTGTTTCCAATCTTGGAGAAAAAAAGAACAATGCTTAGCGCTAAGAAACTTATCAAAATGGCTAGGAAATGGCAGAAGTTTGCAGCCATGCAGAGGAAGAAGATTTCACTTCCAAGAAATGGCAATGCTGCAGATAGTTGTAGTACATCTTCATCTTTTCCAACCGGTAAAGGCCAGTTTGTAGTGTACACAGCTGATCAAAAGCGCTTTGTGATTCCATTGGCTTATCTGGAAAATGAGATCATTTTGCAACTTTTAAACATGTCTGAAGAAGAGTTCGGGCTGCCAAGTGGAGACCCTATTACATTACCATGTGATTCAGCATTCATGGACTACATCATTTCACTAATCAAGAAAGGTGCAACTGCTGGAGATCTTCGTAAAACATTGATCCTCTCAATTAATTCATGTTGCTGTTCAACTTCTTTGCATCAAGAATGGGGAAAGCAGCAGCTCCTTGTTTATTAATCACGATCATTATCTTTAGTAAATGATAGCTCAAAATAGATTGTATAGCAGGTGAAAAAGTAGGCAGTTGAAAGTGTGTATTACTGATGGAATAGAGCTTTATCTGAAATTTGGCCACATTTATCGTTTTCAATCTCAATTTTGTGAATGAGGACTTCTAGGTTCTCATCTTGAGCTGGCACTATTTACAGGAAACACTGTATTTTTTAATCCAAGTAGTCAACGTTGTGATCAAAACTTACAGATATATGAATCATGCCTAAGCAAGTCTTAATGACATGAAACTTAATCCGAAAGAGTTCAAAGGAAGTAAAATCATAAAAGTGTTCTGCTTCCACTGCAATTCAATCTCATACTTGATCGATAATAAAGCCATTGTTTACCCAACTAATTGAAATGCAATGTGAAAGCTCAATAGATCACCTTTCTCGTAAATCATACTTACCTCATCACCACTTGCATTTTAGTTTCTAGTAATAGATCATTCATATTCAAATATATAGTTTCTTTATTGTTAAGCATTTCTCCTCGGACTATTAAACCAAATCCAGCTTTTCAAATTATGCAGGTGACATGCTAAAAAATATATCAAGACATTGCATGTGCAATTGCAGTTAGAAAATGAAAGAAATATATCAACCTCTTTGCTTAAAATAGACAACTAGCCATGTCCACTAATCCTAAGGTCCCATATTAAACACCAGCACATGATTTTGCCTTGCTTACCTAACAGAGATGTCAACTTTAGCTACAATTCAAAGTCATTATGTTCCCTCAAATAGCGATGGTCACAATTTAAAGGTTACCTATCTACATGACAAAGCAGTCAGCAAATATGTTAAAAGAAACCACCAGGCAACTTGAACTTGCGATATTATAATTTGACTATTGACTTATCTTGTTCTGGATTGCAATATTCAGAAACACAGTAGTACCACCAGGAAAGTTTTCATGAGCCTTGAATGCTGGTTGCAGACTGATAATTTGACTTGACAAATTCAAAAACTACCAAAGTTCTGTTTTAGAGTTGACTATTGGCAAATGGCAGTTGTGAAAAGTCCTAACTCCTACATATGAGTGGATATCTCAAGTAACTAGGACTTGCACATTCTGTTGTCGACCAATGTGAAGAGGGGAAGAAACTGATCATCTTCGATAAATTCAAACAAACTTCATCCACATATTGAAGGCCCCATATCAACTTGGCCAACGGGCATCAGCACATGGCTTTGCCTTTGGTAGTTAGTGTCAAAAACTTTAACTCCAAATCAAATTCTGTCTCCAGCCTCCTGTATAAATAATCATCTTTCCATGAGCCTTTTCATCATCAACCACAAGCTTTATCTACTCAGCTATCAAAGCTCTCTATATTTCTTTTTAACTTTCTTGTTCTCAGTCTTCCAGAGAAAAGAACAATGTTAAGTGCTAAGAAACTCATCAAGATGGCCAGGAAATGGCAGAAGTTTGCAGCCACGCAGAGGAAGAGGATTTCACTTCCAAGAAATGGCGATGATGCAGGCAGTTGTAGTACATCTTCATCTTCTATAGCCGGAAAAGGCCAATTTGTAGTTTATACAACTGATCAAAGGCGCTTTGTCATTCCATTGGCTTACCTGGAAAATGAGGTCATTTTGCAACTTCTAAACATGTCCGAAGCAGAGTTTGGGCTGCCAAGTGGTGGCCCTATTACATTACCATGTGATTCAGCATTCATGGATTACATTGTTTCACTAATCAAGAAAGGTGCAGCTGCGGGAGATCTTCAGAAAGCATTGCTCCTCTCAGTTACTTCGTGTTGTTGTTCAACTTCTTCTTTGCACCAAGAATGGGGAAACCAGCAGCTTCTTGTTTATTGATTCATGATCACAATCTTTAGTAATTGATAGCTCAAAATAGATTGTATAGCAGGTGAAAAGAAGGCAATTGAAAGTGTATATTACATATGAAATAGAACTTTATCTGAAATTTAGCCACATTTATAGCTTTTAATCTCAATTTTGTGAGTGAGAACTTCTAGATTATCATCTTTGGCTGGTGCTATTTACAGGAAACACTTATTTTTTAATCCAAGTAGTCAACTTTGTGATCAAAACATAAAGATATATGGATCATGGCCATGCAAGTCTTAATGGCATGAAACTTTTTTCTAAAGAGTTCAAATGAAGTAAAATCATAAAAGTGTTCCGCTTCTACTGCAATTAAATCTCATATTTGATCGATTTAGATTAATAATGAAGCCATTGTTTGCACAATCAACTGGAATGCGATATGAAAGCTCAATAGTTCACTTTGCTCGTACATCATACTTAACTCATCACCACTTGCATTTTAGTTTCTACTAATTGGTCATTCATATTCAAATATATTGTGGTGAAGATGTACATTATCTTTCAGGCACAAATGTTTCTGAATCTAGTTAGTGGCTTCTTTGTTGTTAAGAATATCAATTAATCCTCCGAGCTCTTCTCAGCCTATTAAACCAATGCCAACTTTTCAAATCTGCTGGTGACATGATCATGTGGATTCACCAATGCCAACCTTAGATAGGCTTTGAGTTGCAGTTGAAGCTTTTGGAACTATTCACCAAAGTCAAAGCCATGTGGTGATGCCTGTTGGTAATGTTTGATATGGGGTCATTTAGATTGTGGATAAAGCTAGTTTGAATCATAAATGATGTGTTTCTCCCTGTCTTCTCTTTGGTAGAAAGAAGACATTTTTTGGTCAAAATTCAATTCTTTTGGTCAAGTTAGGAGAGCTAATACCCAAGGTTATGATAAAAGGTGTAGGGCTTTCTGTTTTGAAATAATTTGGCCTGATAAACAACATTACCAAATGCTTGTCATTCAGTATGAAGGCATTTCCATGTGTGCAACATGTGGTATTGTTGTTGTAGTTGGGCTTACCAAAAGCTTTCCTAATCTTTCACCAGTAAATATCAGGATGTCTTATGACATTATTTTTTATATGTACACATCCAATTTTTCAAAACTTTTCTTTCTTTTCACTCTAATAGACAGAGAAAATAATCCTATAGAATCATGGCTATCTGCATCCTTTGTATAATTAATTATTGGCTGCAGAAACTAGAATTACTTACAGCTCTCATCACCTGCCCTATGTGGTTGTAGATTGAACTGCCTCATTATACAAAGTTCCTAAGTCGATCAATGTATATAATACATTAGAACAACAAATACCACAATAACAAACCCAGTGGAGTCCCACAAGTGGGGTCTGGGAGGGTAGTGTGTACGCAGGCCTTACCCCTACCCTTAGAGTTAGAGGTGTTGTTTTGGATAGACCCTCGGCTCAAGAAGATGAAAAGCAACACCAGAGACAAGAAATATCAACAACAAAGGCCGGAAAGATAATAACAACAATCTAAGAACCACAAAAATAGTGGGAAGGAAACTTGTTTCAATATTTTGTTTCAGTGTGTATGTCTAATTAATGCCTAAGGATTTTCATCATTATACATTTGGATATGAATGACTTGTTGATAGAAACTAAAATCCAAATGGAGCTGGGATAAGTATGAGGTATGACCAGTTAACCGTTGAGCTTTTTCATAACATTCCAAATGATTGCTGCAATCTGCAGCTTCCTTTTCAATCTAGTGTTATCAAGTATGAGATTTTGCTGCAGTTAAAGGGGAACACTTCTATTATTTCACTTCATTTGCTCTTTTGAGTTAATTTTCATATCAGCAAGACTTGTGTGGACATTACTCGTATATCTGAAAGTCTTGACCGACAAAGTTGACTATTCAGATAAAACAATAAGTGTATTTCTGTAAATAGTGCCAGATCAAGATGAGAATCTAAAAGTCCTCAATCACCAAATTGGATATAAATCTAAATCTGGTTAAATTCAGATAAAACTCTACTGCATTTACACTCTTTCATTTGCCTACTTTTCATCTGTTTTGGTCTATCATTTACTAAAGATAAATGATCATGAATATGCTGTACACTTGTTGAATATCATGAATCTGTAACAAAACTTATGATGGTCAGGTCAATAAACTAGCAATTGTGTGTTTCTTTGTTCCCGTAGGCACGTAGCTGATGAGCATCGACTGGAAGCAACCGATACAAGCAAAGCATTCAGAAGATCTACAGCTACTCCTTTTCTGATGAGTGTTATGATGTAGTTCATGAAAGCGGCATCACATGGTAATGTAATAGGGCCATCAGTTGGGAGTCCAAACTCATCTTCAGACATGTTCAGTAGTTGTATGATTACCTGATTTTGAAGATAAGCCAAAGGAACCACAAAGCGCTTTTGATCAGCCGTATAAACCACAAAATGCCCTTTGTCAACTACAACAGATGGCGTGCTACAACTATCAGCATCATGTTCATTGGATCTTGAAAAAGTAATTCTCTTCCTCTGCATTGCTGCAAACTTCTGCCATTTCTTGGCCATCTTGATGAGTCTCTTAGCACTGATCATTGTTTGACAGTAAAAATTAGATAATTGACAACTTTGAAGGAAACTGACAATGCTTGTCTTGGATGATGTAAAGGCTCATAAATAGGTTTAAATTTAAAAGAGGCTGGAGATAGGCTTTGAGTTGCAGCTGAAGATTTTGCAGCTAATCACCAGACAAAGCAATGTGGTAATGCCTGTTGATAATGTTGATATGGGCTCTTTGAGTGTAGATGATCATAGGTTTTTTCTTGTATTCCCTTTGGTAGACAGAAAACATTTGTTAATTATACATGAGAGTCTCACCATTGCCAGCACATGGTTTTCTTTCACCAGCAAAACAGAATCTACCACTGAAAAGTCATAACTACTGCCACTGTTCAAAAGTCCTACATATGAGTTGATATCATAACTAACATGTCTATTCTGTTGTTATCAGCCGAAGCAAAGAAAGGAAGAAACTTTATCATCTTTCGAACATTTCAAACTAGCTTCATCCACAAATTTAAGGCCCCATATCGACATGGCCAACAGGCATCAGCACATGGGTTTGCCTTGGTGGTTAGTGGCAAAAACTTCAGCTCCAACTCAAATTCTGTCTCCATCCTGTTGTATAAATAAACCCCATTCCATGAGCATTTTCATCATCAACCACAACCATTATCTATTCAGTTATCAAAGGGTCTCTAAATACCTACTTTACTTTCTTGTTTCCAATCTTTTGGAGAGAACAATGCTCAGTGCTAAGAAACTCATCAAGATGGCTAGGAAATGGCAGAAGTTTGCATCCATGCAGAAGAAGAGGATTTCACTTCCAAGAAATGAAAATGATGTAGACGGTTGTAGTACATCTTCATCTTTTACAGCAGGTAAAGGCCAGTTTGTAGTTTATACAACTGATCAACGCCGCTTTGTGATTCCATTGGCTTATCTGGAAAATGAGGTCATTTTGCAACTTTTAAACATGTCTGAAGAAGAGTTTGGACTGCCAAGTGGAGGCCCTATTACATTACCATGTGATTCAGCATTCATGGACTACATCATTTCACTAATCAAGAAAGGTGCAGCTGCTGGAGATCTTCACAAAGCATTGCTCCTCTCAGTTACTTCATGTTGTTGTTCAATTTCTTCTTCGCACCAACAATGGGGAAAGCAGCAGCTCCTTGTTTATTAGTCATGATCATTATCTTTAGTAAATAATAGCTCCAAACAGATTGTATAGCATGTGAAAAGTAGGCACGTGAAATTGTGTATTACAGATGGAATATAACTTTATCTGAATTTTGACCAGATTTATACCTCTCATTCAATTTTCAGTTGGTGATTGAGAACTTTTAGATTCTCATCTTGGTGTGGCACTATTTACAGGAAACACTTATTTCTTATCCGAATAGTCAACTTTATTGATCAAAACTTACAGACATAAGATTCATGTCCATGCAATCGCTTGATGACATGAAAACTAACTTGAAAGGGTTCAAATGAAGTGAAATAGTAGAAACGTTTCACTTCCACTGCAGTTAAATCTCATACTTAATCGATTTAGATCAATAATGAAGCCATTGTTTACACAACTAACTGAAATGCAATAAGAAATCTCAATAGTTCACTTTGCTCGTACATCATACTTACCTCATCACCACTTGCATTTTAGTTTCTAGTAACAGGTCATTCATATTCAAATATATAGTGGTGAAGATTGTAATGCATTATCTTTCAGGTACAGATGTTCCTAAGTCTAGTTAGTGGCTTCTTTGTTGTTAAGAATATCGATTAATCCTGCGGGCTCTCCTCAGCCTATTGAACCAAAGCCTATGCTGGTGACATGATAAAAAATATATCAAGACATTGCATGTGCAATTGCAGTTGGCCATAATATCTGGACTCATTGTTTAGAGAAACCACCTAGCAGAAACCAAGTGGGTTCAGCTGCATAGAAATAAGGTTGTAAATTTACTACTTTAACTTGGCTCTAGAAAATGGAAGAAATATATCAACCTCTTTGCTTAAAATGGACAACTAGCCATGTCCACTAATCCTAAGGTTCCATATTAAATAGCAGCACATGATTTTGCCTTGCCTACCTGATAGAGATGTTAATTTTAGCTACAATTCAAAGTCATTATGTAAAATCAAATAGCCATTGTCACTATTTAAAGGTTCCCTACCTACATGACAAAGCAGTTAGCAAAACATGGTTTTGCCTTTCACCAGCAAAACATAAATCTATCACTGAAAATTCATTTATTCATTTAAAGATCTCAAACTATTGGCACTTATGAGAATCCTAGATATGAGTTGATAACATACCTAACACTTCCATTCTGTTGTTGAGTAAACTGAAGAAAGGAAGAAACTTATCATCTTCCATACATTTAAACTAGCTTCATTCACAAATTTAAGGCCCCATATCAACCTAGCCAACAGGCATCAGCACATGGCTTTGCCTTGGGTGGTTAGTGGCAAACACTTCAGCTCCAACCTCTTGTATAAATAACACCACTTCCACGAGCCATTTCATCATCAAGAACAAGCATTATCAATTCAGCTATCAAAAGTCTCTAAATATCTACTTTACTTGTTTCCAATCTTCAAAGAAAAGAACAATGCTTAGTACTAAGAAGCTCATCAAAATGGCCAGGAGATGGAAGAGGTTTGCGGCCATGCAGAGGAAGAGAATTTCACTTCCAAGAAATGGCAGTGCTTCAGATAGTTGTAGTACATCTTCATCTTTTACAGCCGGTAAAGGCCAGTTTGTAGTTGATACAACTGATCAAAGACGCTTTGTAATTCCCTTGGATTTTCTGGAAAATGAGATTATTTTGGAACTTTTAAACTTGTCCGAAGAAGAGTTTGGGCTGCCAAGTGGTGGTCCTATTACATTACCATGTGATTCAGCTTTCATGGACTACATTATTTCAGTAATCAAGAAAGGTACAGCTGCTGTGGATCTTCACAAAGCATTGCTCCTCTCAGTTACTTCATGTTGTTGTTCAACTTCTTCTTTGCACCAAGAATGGGGAAACCAGCAGCTTCTTGTTTATTAAGTCATGATCATTATTTTAGTGAATGATAGCTCAAAATAGATTGTATATAGCAGGTGAAAAGTAGGCAATTGAAACTGTGTATTACAGATGGAATAGAACTTTGTCTGAAATTTAACCAGATTTATAGATCTCGGTTTTTTAGTTTGATGATTGAAAACTTCTAGATTAATCTCATCTTGGGCTGTCACTATCCGAGTAGTCAACTTTTTCGATTAAAACTTACAGATAAATGAATTAAGCCCAGGCAAGTCTTAATGACACGAAAACTAACTTTAACGAGTTCAAATGGAGTGAATTCATAAAAGTGTACCCCTTCCATGGCATTAAACCTCATACTTAATCAATCTAGAATGAAAAAAAAGCAGCAGATAACAAGAATGTAATGATGTCCATCTCATTGAAGAAGTATTAGGCATGTGCCTAATAAGAGTTTTCTTTGGTTT